AAAAAAAAAAATACACGAGTCTTAAAAGTTTGTATGTAATAGCATGCAAATAATATCCGAGTTAATTTAACGATGTTGGGAAGAAGCCGAATGCACTATATACAGGAAACAATTGGGTTAAATAATACTGTTTTATAGAGATTTAAAATTATCTATGCTCTTAAAAATAGCGGTGGTGGGGGGAGAGGTAACAATTCTAGGGTGACCTGAAAGGCAATATAGTAATATATGGACTGCAAACGGTTGGCTGCTATCTCACTATGCACCAGATTTATTTATTAACCCTCGGGAAACGGAATATTATTTTAACCTCGATGTTGAAAGAAGGAAAGAAAAATGCACATTATTTCTTGCGCAAAAAAAAACCCCAAAACAACAACAAACCAACAAAAACCACAAAACCAAACCATAATAATTCGTGCAATTGTGCTTGGAGCGAAAGCGGGGCCGATCCTGCGCGGAGGAGCGGGGTTTTTTTGGGTTTGTTTTTTTTTTTAAACAAGTTGCTTATTTAAAAAAGAAAAACTATTAAAAAAAAAAATTAATCTTGGGGAAAACACAAGGGTCTTGTGGACAGAGCGAGCTTGGGAGCCTGGTGCATTTTAGGTACTGATCGTGCGAAGCGTTTTTAACGACCTGTTGTTTCGATTTGTGACGGTTTTAACGATGTTGCATCAAGATAAAAACTTATATTCAACTAGAGCCTGGGTCGGGTTTTCTCTCAACCGGGGGGTCCCGCAGCATCACCTTTTCGTTTTGGGGTTTGCTTCTTCTTCCTTCCGAGTCCCGGTACCGATGGAAAACCCTCCCCGAGCTCCCGCCGGGCGAGGGGTCGAGGCGTGGGGGGCTCGCAGGGATGGATCCGGCGTTGACCATCACTTGTGAGCCGGGGACCACCATCGGCTCTGCCCCACCGAACTCTGGCTTTTTGCTTTTCCTGCCTCTTTATTTTACTTTTTTTTTTTCCCCAGCCGGGTACTGTGGGGTTGTTTTTTTTTTTTTCCCCAAGGTGCCCCGGACACCTTCGTCCCCGCGGCCGCTGAAAAGTCACCTTCATCTCAGTCCGGATCCCAGTTTGGTCCCAGCTTGTCCGACACCGCCCCGATGAGCCGCTGCCTTGATTTTAAACAGTAATAAATGATTTTTCTTTCCCCTTTTGGCTTCTCCCTTTTGAGTTTTTTAGTTAAGGGAGGGGGGGGGAGAAAAAAGAAAAAGACCCAAAGCAAAACACACACCTTCCCTAAAGGAAAGCTTTAGGGTTGGTGTTTTTACAAATGTTTTGGGGGTTTTTTTTTTCAGGACCGTCTGCAGGGATGTGTGTTCCCCGGCAGCTCTGCTCCGCGCCGCTGGGAAGCCCGAGCACGGTTGCCCCGCTCGCAGCTTTCCCCGGCCGTGCCGGGCTCAGCGGGACAATTTGCAACGCAGCCCTTGGTCCAACATATTTCTGAGTATTTTATATATATTTTTTTATATAGAGAGATATATATTATTTTTTTCCTTCTATATTTTTGCACAGGCTCAGCCCCAGCCCCTCCCCAGCCGGGAGCTGCCCCGGCACGCTGGCTGCGGTGTGTTTCC